CAATCCCATTGAAATACATGCTTTGCACATGGAAATGGCAATCCTTTTAAACATTTTGTCGATCATTTAAATATAAGGAAAAACTACTTCATATATCATTGAACATTGTTTGTTTAGCCGTTTATATCACTGAATTTTAAATTTTATCAATTAATCAATTATGGCACTAAACTTTAGTTTTACATTTAATTATATCACTTCATCGTTAAGTCAGTAACAAGACGATGACATGGCTAACGGTTGCTGATGTGGCGTCTCACAACAAAATGACAGCATTTTGGTGCAACTATTTTGATGCTTAAAACGATGTCATTTTAAACACTAAACTTTAGGGATGTATCGATTTTGTTATTGAATTTTTAAACGCTTTTCTTTTTTAGCACTGCACTTTTCTGTCACCGTGAATAGTCAAACAACACCCATCATCGGTCATATTTCATGACAAAATTGATACCAAAACGATCATATTTCACTCATCTTTCTTCTCGTATGATAGATTTTCCACGAAACACATTCAAAAGCAACGAAAATTCATTTAAACTTTTGACATATTAATACTCTGATCTCTTTCAATGATCATCCAATGATGCTAGTTTTGAAGTATATTGTTCGTTTTCTCGAAATAATGATTTTCACCATTCAGATTTACGAACAAACACTTCAAATCTCATAAATATAATAAAGTCTCCAAACATCTAAAAAATAGTAGATTTTTGTTATTTATTTTCGTCGATTTTGAGTGAGTTTCGTGGAAAACTAATCATATGAGAAGAATGAGGAGTGAAATGCGAACATTTTGATATCAATTTTACCTCGAAAGATAGTCAGTGATGGGTAGTAATTAGTTGCTGACGACGCTTGAAAAGTACAGTGCCAAAAAATAAACTATGTAAAAGTCCAGTAATAAAATTGATACACCCTAAATTTAATATCTAAAATGACGTCGTTTTAGGCATCATAAAAACCGCACCAAAACGATGTCGTTTTGGTGTGGCATGCCACATCAACAACTATTAGTCATGCCTTCGCCTCGTTAGTAATTTAACGACAATGTGACATAATTGAATGTAAAACTAAAATTCAATATTATAATTGACACAATTGAAAGTTTAGTGCTATAAACGAGTAAGTTCAATAATATCCAAAATAATTTTCCTAAATACAAACAAACTATCGAATGTATCAAAATATTATATTATATTTTATAAATTAGAAGAAACTAAAATCAATAAAATATATGTTTTTTTTTGGGTTTAAAGCCCAATTGTAATATACCAAATTTATTGTCACTTACAAAGAGACGCAAAGAAGAACCAAAGTATAGCGTAAGCTCATAAAAGATCTTTAATTAATTATTAGGTATAATACCAAAAAATTCATAATATTTGATTAAAAAATTATTTTAACCCTTATTCTTTTATTCGAAGTATTTTGGCTCACGACATTTTATTTTATGATAAAAACTTTAATATTTGATTAAATAGTCACTTTAGACTTTAGTCATTTTTTCTTGAAATATTTTGGTTTCAATATTTCATTTTAGGACAAAAACACTTATTTTGAAACATTGACCGTTTGTTGACTAATAATTTACATTCACATAGGGTTCATTTTGTCTCAAAATGAAACACTGAGATCAAAATGCTCAAAAATAAATAAGGACTAAAATGACTATTTAGTCAAATGGTATGGACATTTTTATCATTATACCTAATTATTATTATTATTTGACTAAAATGACTATTTTCGTTGACACAAATCCAACGGTCCAAAACCCACTTTAACCTACCATCTAAATCCAAACCGTTACACTGCTAAGGCTTCAACTCATCTTTTATGTGCCTTCATTTGGCCATCCTTTGCTCTTTTAATTAATTAGTGCCCCCGCCCCCCCACATTGTTTTATTGATGAATCTTATGTTTCATTTTCAGCTTCTTTTAAAACCCCTTTCTCTTCTTCAACCTCTCGTTTCCGCATTTAATCGTCTTTGTTGATGGTAATGAATGAAAACTCACTTCGATTCTTGTTTCAGAAAATTCCCCATTTCATTTTTGTATGAATCCATGATCATGTATGATGTTTTCTTCTTGGAACTGCAAATAAAAACAGGAGGAAATGAAGGTGCCACCATGGCTTGAATCACTGCTATCGACTGCATTCTTCACTTTTGCCCAAGACATGGAGACGCTCCGAGGAGCGAATGTAATATGTATTGCCTTGACTGCATGAGGGACGCATTTTGCTTCTATTGCCGATCCTCGAGACACAAAGATCATCTTGTAATTCAGGTACCGCAGATCTTTCATTTTCGTTCTTTGTGATTGCAGATTTGTGTGTAAAGATGAGACGAATGCAGATCAGACGATCATCGTACCACGATGTAGTGAGAGTTACAGAAATCCAAAGGGTATTGGACATAAGTGGGGTGCAGACGTATGTGATCAACAGTGCAAGAGTTGTTTTCCTAAACGAGAGACCCCAACCAAAGATCAGTAGCAGCCCCAGCAGCAAAGGTGTTCTTATTCGTGTGAAATTTGCAGCAGAATTCTCTTGGACCCCTTTCGCTTCTGTTCTTTGGGGTGCAAGGTTAGTTGTTTATTTTAGGGTAAACTGCGTATTTAGTGATTCACATATTTTTGTGGTTTCGTTATGGTCATTCAACTATTTTTTTTCTAAAATCATACTTCACATATAGTTTTAGTCACCCGCGGTAAAAAATAATCAACGATGATGCTGACATGTCACCACAAGTTAATGACACATCATCATTGAAACAATATAACCTGAAAACAAAATGTAACTTTAGGTAAGATTTTGTAAAAAAATCCAATGAAGACATTACATTCCTCAAGCAAATTGGGCTGGAAGAGTCGCCCTCCTAACTGGCCTATGCAAAATCCGATATATATAGATCAGATATCAGTGATTAAAACAGAAATGGAAATTAGATAAAGGGTTGAAAATAATGCAGCTTGTAGGGACAAGGGAAAAGAGGGACACGAGCTTTGTCATTATAGGCAACAAGAAGAATGAGGAAGAAGGAAAGAAAGAAAGAAGAGAAGGAAATACGGCGACAAGAATGGGACCAAAACAAGTACAAGGAGAAGAATTGCGTGAAAATAGGTCGCAAGAAATGAAGACATGCTGGGCATCAACGCCAAGTAATAGTGATATTACGCCTCATTTTAATTCCAGGAGAAGAAAAGGCTTCCCCCAAAGGGCTCCTTTTGCTTCCTAATTCTTCTCCTCATTAACCAAACCAAACAATTAAGACTTTGTATACCTAATTATTTATTATATTTACTTACCCTTCTTATCACGTCACTCTTACTTTGTGCATATATTTATATTCTCATCTTATTCTATAAATTTCTATATTCATATTTTATTTAGTTATTCATATATGTTAATAATCTCTAAAATAAGTGGTTAAAAACTCTCAGTTGATACATCTCTCCTTTAGGTTGTATGTTCGTTCAATACCGTTAGGAACAAAAATCCCCTCCCCTCCCCTACCCCAAATAGGAATTATTAAAAAAAAATATTGATGAACGATCTATTAATCAACTAATTATGTGTTGATCCTTGAGTCGTGTTGAATGTAAACGTGATGGTAATATACAAACGGATTTTATATAATATTACTTTATCTATTTAATTATAAATATTAATATAAAATAATTAATTTGTGAGTATTAAAATATTTTATGTAAAGATTAATATAAAAATTTATCGATCTTATATTTTATTCATAAAAAATGTTTTTAGTTATCTTATCTTAAAAATTTTATGCACAAATAAAATAATTTTAGTGGTTAAAGGTATTATTGTTTTCTCTAGAGGTTCTAGATTTAAGTACGATGTTTGCATGCGTGTTTGAGTATCCATTATTAAATGAACGAAAGTTTTTCGAATATATATTAATTTGTAATCATCTCGAATCTTAAAATTTTATAAAAAATACAAAATTTATCATAATAATATTGATTATTCTCTAAAATAAAAATATTTTAATAATTTTACAACTGAAATTATATTAAATTAATTTATAATATCAATTCAATCAATCAATTTGTACACATTTAAGTAACTCAAGCCTAACATTTTCACCAAAATAACTAGACCCGCACATGTTAATTGTCGATACACACAGAAGTTCAATTAAAATATTCTATGGCATTTAATTAATTTTAGGGATTATGCTTGAAGAAAAAGAAAGTTTATAAGTTCTTATTACCGCAAGTTTTGTATAAACTTTTGAAGTGTGTTTGAATGAGGCAATATTCAAAAACAAATGTATGAATAAATCCAATATTTTCACTTTCTAAATAGACCATGGCCTGCACACATTAGTTTTCAAGGTATTTTAATTATTTTTACGGTTTGGGATTAAAGAAATTTTAAAATATTTTAAATATTCAAGATATTTTTTAATAATATGATGCGATTATAAGAATAACTACACACTATGTAGACGCACCCGAGTCCTCAAGAGAGAATGAAATCTCTTTTATCAGTAAAATTGCTTGACAAGTTCTAAATATTTAAACTTAAACATTCGGTTATGTATTGGTTGTTTTCAAAGCATGTCTGGTTATGTGCTTTTTTTATATTGTTTGTAGTTGGATCGGGTATTGCATAGGTAAGGGCGATCCTCCAACCTAATTTGCTCCATTCAAAAACCAGATTTGAACTCCTTACCTTGCTTAAGAGATCTAGTGCCTCATCCCACTAGATCAACTTCTTGTTGATAACTCAATTTACTCTGTATAGAGTTATATTTTTTCTCAATTTGGTGTTTAAATGTAAATTTGATTTTTTTATTTTAATATAAAAAAAGAAAAAATATTATAAAAATGAAGATTTTAAAAAAAGTTGAGTGATTAAAATAGAGTAAAAATGATAGTTGGAGTACCAAACATGTAGTTTATCCTAAAAGAAAAGTTGAAAATTTATTATTTTGATAAATTAGCCGAATTTGGGCATTAAGCGACGGCCCATAATTTATTTGCCGTCCAGACACATGATAAGGTGTAGCACTGCAAAAATTAAACTAAATTGGAGGTTTAGGGTTTTTAGAAAGGGAATTGAAGTCCGAATCGGAAATGTTGAGAGTAAATCGAGTGATAAACCAGGCAAGAGCTTCGATTTCGACTTGTCAATTCCTCCTAAATCTAAATCATGAACAAAAGATTTGCCCTTTACCTTCTCAACATTTCGGTCGGAATTCCTCTAATCGATTCTTCGATATTTACAAGGTAATTAATCCTTCTACCCCTCTTTTTAAGCTCCAAGAAGTTTGAATTTTAAGCTAAAGTTATTTAACTTCTTTCTGTCTTTCGTGTACGTATGCAGCTTGCTAGCAAGAAAGAAATCGAGAAAGAACGAGCAAGACTGTAAGTTTAAGTTTACTTGTTTATTTTTGAGATTTTTTAATGTGCTATCTTCCTAGAATTTTATAAAATTACTTTTTCTAAAGAAAGTCTTGATTCATGACAGTGCTGATGAATTGAATAGAGGATATTTTGATGATTTGTCTGAGCTAAAACAACACGGTGGTAAGGTATTGACTCATTTGTTCTTCTTGATATATATATATATACATATATGCTATATCATTTCAAAATCTTTTAAATTTTGTTCAAATTAATCGAATTGCAACTCATTTCTGGGGAAAAAAAGAAATAATGTCACTTTCTGAGAAGATTTTAATTGTTAGATTTTTCTTCCTTTTCTTTTTGCAGATTGCAACGGCAAATAAGATTTTAATTCCAGCAATTGCGGCAAAGAAGTTTCCGGCGGTGGATGTGATATATTCTGATGGTAGAGAGTCAAAGCTGCCAGTTACTTTTGATGGAAATGGAGGTGATGCTAGCAAGCTGGCTGCCCCTAAAGCCTGTTTAGTCTGTCTATCATTTAGAGCAAACTCTCAGGCATGGATTTCTTTTTCTATGTTTGTTTTAGATAAATTTTATATACTTTAAAACCATGTTGTAAATCTTCCTTTTTTTCTTTTTGCTAATAACTTGAAAATAGAATGTTGATTAGATAGCGCATTTGCTTTAAAATTGTGATAGAGGTATATATCAGCATCTCCATGGGAATGGATGGGTAGAATTAAATTACAAGCAAGAAAACAGCAAAAGCATAAGAAAGAAAAGGATGTTGGTTTATGCCTTTTTATCTATTTTTCTTTTTTCTAGTTATTCTTTTTATTGCTGGTGCAATTTAATCCCTTTTTCCTTGTCAGGCTATGGTTGATTCTTGGAGCAAGCCTTTTTATGAAGCTTTTAGTGAGTCCAAGAATGTCCGGCTATATGAGGTTGTTTATAATTTTTCCATTTAACTTGGAGATTCATTCTATTTTTTTAATCTTTTTGGCATGCATGGTATATCAGATGTTCTCGATTTTATGTTGTTAGAACTGATAGATTGCATGCATCTCTGTAAGTCAAGAAAATGAAGATGATGATGATAAACAAACAAGCAAACAAATAAAACAAAGAAAGGGAATAAAATAACAATGATTTGTATGACTATTGACTTTCCTAGCTGAGCTTCAAATTCATCCAACCAGCCTATAACTTTTAAATCAGTTTTTCTTTTATTAACTTAATTGAACGAAAAACTTGGCAGCTGATTTTATGTTTTATACAATTTATTTGTTAATATACTCATGTTTAGAAATTATTGTGATGCTAAATGATAATATGTTTTCTGCTATCAGGTGTCTTTTATAGACTCTTGGCTCTTATGCTTGAATCCCATTAAACAGCTGCTTCTTCGATTTATGAGGAAATCTAGTAATGGAGAGGACACTCTTCAGAGACATATTGTTTATTCGTTTGGCGACCATTATTACTTCCGAAAGGAACTTAAGATACTGACCCTTCTAACTGGGTACTCAAAGTTTCTTATATCCTAATCAATAACATAATCTTCGTACACTACTGTTCTTTTACTCTGAGAATATATATTTTCCTTTGTTTGAAGGTATATTTTCCTGCTTGACAAATTTGGTAGAGTAAGATGGCAAGGCTTTGGTTTGGCGAAACAAGAGGAATTGTCTTCACTTCTTTCTTGCACAACAGTTCTTCTGGAGGAAAAATAGGTAGCCTAGCATCTTTTAGATACGGTATTATTCGTAATGGATTAATCCCCAATTTTTTTCATTCAAGGGATACGAGTGGCAACGAAAAATAATGATGTGCTTTGTTGTAAACAAGGTCCCGTTGGCTGTTTTCATTTCCACTGAAAATATAAAAGGATTTCAAATGTGCATGCATATAGCACTACTAAACCTCAGTTCAGTGCCTAATTTCTTCACTTTTTTTCCGGCAGGATAGTGGAGAGGGTAGAGGCCAAATAAAAAGACCTCAGTTCAGTGCCTAATTTCTTCACCTTAAGCCTTGAGGTGTTAGTGTTATGTTGCTCTAGCTCATTGAATATACCAAACCAATGAGGCAGCCACCGAGACCCACAAAAGCAGATAATGTTTTCAGCAGGATAAAAAGTGTCCCATCTTACCCTTTTCTAACCTCTTCCATTATTTCTTTTCATTTTTGAAAGAGTCCAAATAAATTTTCATTATTGAAATTATAGGCAAACAAAATTGCCCATAATTATTTTTTCAAAAAGAAAAAATAATTATTGCTGAAATATTATCTTAGTTAGTACTTTATTTATTTTATTAATTGTTTGGTATTAAAGGATTAAATGTCATTTTATCTTGCAAGGAAAGTTGAGCATAAGTCGGAGAATGACAGGGTATATCTGGTTTCACACGTCATGTGTTAAGTACATAACCTTTACTCAATGTCCCCAACACTTAATTCTTTAGGATATTCATTCTTATTATTAGACAAAAAAGAATCTAAATATTAACTTATACTTTATATTCATTGGTTTGCTGGCAAATTCTTTGTCTCCCAACTCAAATGTGGCACTCGCTGGACCTCTCCGCCTCTATTGACCCCGCTGGTCGCCTACCGTAACCTAAGTTTAAAATTCTTAAACCTAAATCTCTAAATCTATTACATGCATCCCTAAATCTCATTTGACAGGTGAACGAATGATCGTCGCGGTGATAGTGGTTGGGGACAAAAATCAAGAGATTTTAGAGTTATATTAATTTTTAGGTATTTTCTTAAAAATAAGAAAAATAATTTTTTTGTTGAAAATTTATGCATTTTTACTTTTTTAAAATTAAAGGAAATTAACCATTAGGTCATGTGTCAAGTATAATTGATCGACTAATTTTTAATAATTTTTTTAACGGATGTCATAGATCAAACATTTTCAGGTCACCTATGATTCGGTACATAGCGTCCGTAACGGAAGTGTACTTTTATGCCGTGTTTGGGTGGCGGCATTGGGTCAAACAAAGGCAACACAAAGTCATTTGCCTTGGAAAACCAACTCAACTATCATACCAAAAGAGGTGAAAAGAAAAACACAGCCCCCTTAACTTTATCTTTTAATTCATTTGCCAAAAATGTCCTTCTTCTTCCCATCACAGATATTGCTAAATGTAGAGGCCACTTAGGGACACCTTAGGCATTTTGCATAAAAAGGCACTTTCACCTTTGTCCTGAAGGATCGTTTAGTGGAAAAGTGCCCTACTTGCATTTATATTCTTTTATTATTTTTTTGGCCTTTAAAACCGACCAAAAGTAAAGTGAAATATGTAAAACAAAACAATAATTGTGCATTGGGCTTCTAGTTTTTTTTCCTTTCTCAAAAGTTTGTTTTCAATTATTTTTAATATAAATTTGAGTATAAGTATAACTTTTGGTGCCCACATATTTTTCATCCTCAAAAATTTATTAATGAAAGTGATTCTTTGAATGTTTATATTTCGGCAATTGAAGTGCAAGCACTCTAAAAATTTATTGACTACTAATATAGTTTACCCATGTTTTTCAAATTTAAGGATAAAATGCGACTTTGGGTAAATTGTAAGTTTAGTATCTAAACTATCACTTTTATTCTATTTGGCCACCTAATTATTTTTTGATGTTACGTTTTGGTTTCATTTTGGTAACCCACCGTTAAAATGTTAATTGTCAAGCTGACGTGTCATCGTAAGGTAATACAATGTCATCATTGAAAAAAATTAAAAATGTCACGTCAGTAGTTCTGTTAATTTTTTAACAACGTATAACCAAAATAAAATCAAAACGCAACATTATGTATGATTTTGAAAAAATAATAGGTGGATGACCAAAATGAAACAAAAGTGATAGTTTAAGTACTAAACTTGTAGTTTACCTATAATTTGTGGTGTTTAACTTTAAATTTAAATATAATGCAGTACTTACTTTTGTGTGTGTGTGTTAATGGTGAAATTAGGTATTTGGCATTTTAATGGTACAATTAAGTATTTAAATTTTGTGGGTGCAATTAGATATGCAATTATTTTTGGTGCAATTATATACTTTTCAAATTAATAATATTTATATCTAAAATTTGAAGAACATATTATCTCTTTAACTAATTGATATTAAAATTATAAGTATGAACCAATCAAAATTGAACATGTACCTATTTGCACCCAAAAGAAATTGTATATCATGTTATACATAAATACCAAAATTAGATACCAAAAGTTTTATTTATCCTAAATTTAAATCATTGTCATTAACATTTTCATCTTTTAGAAAGTGCTATGTTTTGTATTAGTTTAGTTTACAAGGAAAAATTATAAATTTGGTTAAAGAGTTAAAACCAGCTGATTGAATATTAGTTCAATTGAAGTTGATGTCGATGACAATATTTTTAAATTGTTAGTTTGAATGATTTTTTTTTTTAATATAATTCATTAATCTTATTAAAAAAATGAAATATTTAAAATTATATTAAGGGTTTACAACTATCGCCGTAAACTAAATACATAATTTGGACATTTTCTTATAACAGTGAAACTAATTACTTTAGATCATATAAAGATCATACATGGAAAAATTAAAATTCCAACCAAAAGACTCAAACAATAAACAAATATGACAATGAACAAATATGACAATGAAACGACATACACTATTGAATGAATTTATTTTTTAATAAATATCGGGTGATTACAAGATAGTATTTATTCTAAAGAATCATAATCATTTGACAATGAAATCTCAATACCTTTGTAGCCTCTAATGCTCGAACCTGAGACCTTTTAAGGATAACAATAATCCCTTTTAATCATTTTTTTAAAAAGCCTTTTAACCATTAAAGTAGCTTGAATCGTATTTCATATAATGTATTATAATTTGATCAATGAATTTAAGTATTTCATATGAATATAATTAGTTAATATGATGAATAGTATTATAATTTTAAATATGATTATAAAATATCATAAGATACATATATATATATATATATATATAATTAAAATTTAATAATATTAAATATGATATAAATATTTTAAAAAATATGTTTGATCAAATTAAAATTTGAATGATATAATTATTTATATTATCTATAGGAAAATTTAGAATTTGGAATTAAATAGTTATCACATAGTATAAAAACGAATAATTTTTTTTTAATAAGTTGAAGTGATTATAATGTATTATTTGTTAATAATCTTTTTTAATTATTGACAATACACTATGTAAATGTATATTCAAATTTAAAACTTTTTAAAAAATAGCATTCAAATAAATCTACTCAATGAATTCAAATAAAAAAACTTAAACAAGATGTGAGTAGTTGAATTTATACTTAATTTAATTGTCAACTTATGATAGCTGCATTGTGAGTTGTGACTTTGCAATTTGCAATTTGCAAAGCATTTCTTCTCAACTCTTCCTAGCACATTTTTTATATATAAGATTTAAAGTTTTCTTTTAATTTATAATTTTTTCTTGATAAAAGAATTTAAAAATAATTAGTCTCAAACCAAATGACATATCAATGCATTCAAATTCAAGTACTTACGAAGAATAAACATTTTTGAACTATTTTTATTATTAATAAGAAGTAAAGTATTATGATAATAACTAATATGGGTTGATTTAAGTGATAAACAACTTAATATCGTTTAAGTAATGTCTCAAGTTTAAGTTCTTGTGTACGCAGAAAATTCTTTGGGAGACTCATCCACTAAAATCAGGTGTGCGATGCGGGTCAATATAATATTTTATAAGTAAAAAAGTCATTAATATTTGATCGAATAGTCACTTTGACTATTTTTTTTATCCACTAAAAAAGTTGGTAGATATACGAAATTAGTATTAATTTAGACCTAATTATAAACTACTTTTTATCAGTCTATGGACTTACATTAATTAATTAATTAAAGATCAATAAGCGTTAAACCTTTGTTTAAAGTAAACCATTTTGGTAATATTAAATGGATATTTTCTTCAAACCCATGAAATTAATTTTAAATAGATAGATAAAATTATAAATATGCAAAGGAACGTAACGTAATCTATTTCTTGCACATTTCAAAGCTTCTGTTCTCATCGTCTCTACTGTTTGATGTAAAGTAATCGTCTTTCAAACTCTCATGTTTATGTTCTTTAACCTCTCATTGCTTCTAAGTCTCTGTCTTTCAATCATGTTTCTTCTGGTTTTCTAGCTTTCCCCCAGACCCAATTTCCTTCTTATTATTGGTTTTTTTGGGGGAGAAATATTTTTGTTTAAACGACGAATACAACGGTTTTACGAAGCTTTTGTGAAAGAAGTGAAATGGCGGCGGTTTTCGCCGCCTGGATTATGGTAACGATTTCGGTTTTGGAGGCTGCGATAGTTATGGGTGGTTCTCAACCGACTTTGAAACTAGAGAGAAGGATTCCACTGGTGAGTCATGAACTCGAGTTGAGTCGACTCAGAGAACGCGACAGGCTCAGGCATGGAAGGTTGTTGCAGTCTTCTGGTGGTGTGGTGGATTTTCCAGTTCAAGGCACCTACGATCCTTTTCTTGTTGGGTAGTACTTTTTTTATATAAAAAAGAAACAATAAAAATTTCTTTTGAATTTGGGCTTCGTTGTTGATTATTGGTTTCTTTCTCTTTGAGCTTTGTTTCATATTTTCCCTTTCTGTTTTGAGTTTTACTGATTGATTTGTTTTGTTCTTCAGATTATATTATACAAAATTACAGTTAGGTTCTCCTCCAAAGGAATACTACGTACAGATTGATACTGGAAGTGATGTTTTATGGATTGGATGCAATTCCTGCAATGGTTGCCCAGAATCTAGTGGACTTCGAGTAAATTTGACTTCTTTTTCATTTTGGTTTTTTTAATTGAAATAGAAAGTACTTAGCTATTGTGTTTTTTCTTTTCTTTTCTACAGATTGAACTTAATCCGTATGATCCTGGAAGCTCCTCAACATCTTCATTGATCTCGTGTTCGGGCCAACGATGTAATGCCGGTCTTCAGTCGTCGGATTCCGGTTGTTCAGGTCAGGGTAATCAATGCAGCTACACGTTTCAGTATGGAGATGGCAGTGGGACATCAGGGTATTATGTAGCTGATTTGTTGCATTTCAATACAATTCTTGAGGGATCTATGACCGCGAATTCCACAGCTCCAATTGTGTTCGGGTGAGCCGAATAGTTTATCGATGTTGCTATACGAATGATGCATGTTGGTGTTTGTGTTTATCTTATTTGTTGGCTTTAAGTTGCGGATTGTGAAACAGATGCAGCGTGTTACAGACGGGAGACTTGACAAAGTCTGATCGAGCGGTCGATGGAATCTTCGGGTTGGGACAGCAGAGTTTGTCTGTAATCTCACAACTTTCCTCACAAGGAATAGCACCTAAAGTATTTTCTCATTGCTTAAAAGGAAATAATGGTGGTGGGGGTATACTTGTTTTTGGCGAGATTTTGGAACCAAATATGGTTTATACTCCGCTTCTACCATCACAGTAAGTTGTTTCTTCCTTTGCCTGAAATTGTTACATTTCTTTCTCTTTTTATCTTAGTGTAGAAGCCCTGCTTTCTTCTATCAAATTTTCGTGTTAACAGTTCTTGCATATCGAGTCTTACATGCATAGGTTTCTTAGCCTGGTGGAGTTGAGATCAAACCGGGCATGCGGAAAAGACTGATAACTACAGGTTTTCATGGTTACAAACTTACGATGTAGTTTCTGAGAGAATGAAAGACAATGTTTTAGTGAGAGTCTTTGTACGTTTAATGAAATTTAGCTGTTGTCTCTAAACCGGGTTGATTGCTGTTTGATCGAAGGTTAATGCAATGGTTGTACTAGTTGTGATACCCCTCATTGAGATTGAGCAAGAAATCTATAGAAGATCATCTTTCAGCTCGTTTGATAATATATCGGTTGTGATTGGAATATAAAAGGGCTGATGGCAATTTGCTTAATCAAATCTTGCACCACTGAATTTCAGGCCTCACTATAATCTTGATCTGCGAAGCATTTCAATTGGCGGACAAGTTTTATCGATTGATCCATCGGTATTTTCAACATCAAGCAGCCAAGGAACAATAGTTGATTCCGGGACAACTTTGGCATACCTAGCTGATGAGGCTTATGATGCTTTCGTCGATGCTGTAAGTATAGCGCTAGGTTTCACCGACTCTTGGACATTGTTAAGGAGAATCTTCAGTTAAAATTATGCTCTTCATCTGCGATGCTCGGCTTTTTGGTTGATGAAAAAAGTACTATGACTGAAGGATGAGCTTATTGACTTAAATTATATTCTCTTCTTGTCCAGATAACGAAAACTGTTTCACAAACTGTGCGGCCTGTTCTTTCCAAAGGAAACCAATGCTATCTAATAACCTCAAGGTCAAGTTCTGACTTCTGTTATTTCATTTTGTTTCATCATGATAAATTGTCTTAACACAATTATAACTGACATCATGTTAACATTTGATTCAGTGTCGCCGATATATTCCCTCAAGTTAGTCTGAACTTCGCCGGTGGAGCATCCTTGATTTTAAATCCCCCGGACTATCTCGTACAGCAGAACTCGATTGTGAGTTTTCTGAAGCTTTTGACATGCATACGTAGATGTCAATCTACTTATAACTTGCTCTCTTTTTCATGTTCCCTTTGACCTTATTTCGTATCCCTGATTTTTGAATGTAATAGGTGTCTTTGATTTTTACAGGGTGGTTCGGCAGTTTGGTGCATCGGCTTTCAGAAGATTCAGGGTCAAGGGATAACGATCTTAGGAGGTATTTTCACTGAACAAAATATTTTAATAGTTAGAAGAGCTCATGAACTTTGGATCTTCCGGAAAGCTTCGATTTTCTCAAAGTTCCGATTAAGATTACCTTGTGCAAGAAATTTTGGTGTTTCTAATCATTGAGCTGGGTGCTTTCGGATTCGATCTTTTCTTTGCAGATCTTGTTCTAAAAGACAAAATATTCGTTTATGATCTAGCAAATCAACGGATCGGATGGACCGGACTATGACTGTAAGTTGGATCACATGATTCCTACGTTGCATCGAACTTCTTAATCCGTTAAACCTTGCTTTCACCATATCAGGGTTGCATTATTAACGATGATGAAACTTTGAACTGATCTTTGTGTTTAAATATATCCCAACATAATCAGAAGAGCCGAACCTTTATCGATGCTGAAACTGTTCCCTTCTGTATATGATCAGGTTCAACATCTGTCAATGTGTCTGCAAATCTTAATTCCGGAAGACCGGAATTCGTTAATGCGGGGCAGATGAGCAATGGTGGTTCGTCCGGGGATCAACTCCGGAGCATGATAGCTTTATTAATACCTATAATCGTGCTTAACGGTCTACTGTTTTCTTGGCATATATTGCAAGGATTCTGGAATTGACACATTCGGTTTTCGTTGTATAGTTTCGAACATATTTCGACCGAGCAAACATCAGAACCACAATTAATTATTTCCTTGCAGGCAGCTTGTGGCTGGCTGCTTTGTGTGAAACACAGTTGTAGGTTACTCTAAGGGGTCTGTGTTTTCTTTGGAGTGTGCTTCTTGCAGTTATAGATTTTAGAGGTATTATTTGCAATGTTGTAAATTACATTCATATATATCATTTTATACTGACCGTTTTACATTTATTCATTTTTTTACTTAAATATTTCCATCCAAATGATGTGATAAGAGAGTGTCAAAATATTCCTAATAACATATATTTTTGGGGGGAAAAAAATAACATTTTGATCATTTACGTTATCCATTCATTATATTTTGATCATTAAGCTTTTAACTCTAATTGTATTTCCATCCAAATGATGTGCTCTCTTTCTCCTACGGACACCGACCAACAAATTTTCATTTACCGACTGCGATTTTCTACCTTAACTAAAGAAAAAGAAGTGAACCGTCAACCATCCACATGCCAAAGTTTTTCCATCAACAAAATCCAAACCCCAGATGTTTTAACTGTCGCATGTGCAAGTCTTGGTATAATCTGAGCTGGGATTTGCTGAGATGATTAGCTTAACTCTTGACTTTCTTTTGGCCAAAATTCACAGCAAAGGGGTGGACCTGCATTTACAAACAACGCACCTTTCCTTTATACCTTGTTTTGTATTGTGTGCCCTTTCATTTACTCATTATCAGGCACTTCCCCTATCTCTTTTCATTTTCTTTTGTCTGTAAATTTAAAACCGGGCATCCTTTCTTTAATGCACAAACTCTCTTATTAGGAGGCCCGCTGGAAATGCAAAACTGCCCTCCTCTGTATTCACAGTGCCCTTCAACAGAGTTTTAATTATGGGTGAAAGTAACTGCCAGGTTCTTTTATTATATGGACCAGTTCAAATTAGCCCCTTGAATATTTAATAATAGTTGCTCAGTTTGACACTTCATTTCCCAAGGCCAAGGGGAACATGAAAACATTCATCAAATGCACAACATTTATTACATGAAAATTACAACCACCTTTCATTCACTCATCAAGCTCAAGTCCCATAATGTTATGAATTTCTCTACCTCACCCAACCCTCTAAACTAAATATAATCATAGCGGAAGGTTGATTCTCTCGGACATTCTTAAGATGTCCGAGTGAATCCGATCACCTCCTATCTCATATCCGGTGGCTCCTGCTGCAACGCACAATATGTCCTCAATCAGAGCCGAATTTCCCATGATGTCAACATGTGACCCACTCTCTATGCCCCTCCCTTCGAGTAGACTAGTTGGTGGCTTGTGCCGGTACTCCCTGATGTATGTAGCAATACCAGATGGATTGAATCGGGTTCTTCCTCTCCAACCTTTCGCACACATGAATCCAGCACTTAGAACCGGTACACTTTCATCCCCGTCAGCGAAATATACTCCACCTCTCAAGCAGCTATTTTCTTCTCCGCTGATTGAGCTATCGATCTTGTATGGAATGCTTTTGCACCTACTGCTGGGTGATAACTTGTATACGTATGACCTTTCAGTCGGAAGTCCGACACCGTACAAGCAGTATATCTCCATGTCCGGAGCGTCCGGTAACCTGAAAAATAAGATAATACATATGTACTTAGAATCAATCAGTTACATATGCATGTAACTAAGATATCTGTTCAAAATTAAAGATTTGCAAGTGTAATTATGCTAACTTCGTTTCAAGTGGATTAGACCAATATTTGTAATGGTTGTATTTAGGGTCATCAAGATTGTCTGCAATTCCATGAGAAAAGTGAGCTTCGGCTCGTCTCATCATCTTTGGCGCCACAAGCCGAAGCAGATCGATAAGAGCTGTACTTGTGTATGCTTTATCTGCTGCAACATTTTGGATGCTCTGCCTGCTCATCTCATCATATTCAGTCCATATATCTCCACACGAGATGTTGAAATTTAGGGAAGCACTCGTTCGAGAAAATTCCTGATAATTGAACATAATTATTGATTACCATTTGCCACCACGACCAAGATTTTGATTCAAACATAGCAGCTTTTCTTTTATTAAAGATGTGTGTCTATATATATATATATACCTTTGAATCAACAGTGGGAAGCTTTGAAGAATGCAATACTGAGGCTGCCTTGCCGAAAGAGATTATTCTTCCATACTTGGCGAGATCTTTCACTCGGAAACCTCTCTTTACGTCACTGTTATTGACATTGTTGTCGCTTAGAGAGGTCTGAGAGTGGCTTTTTTTGGAGAAGTCACAAACATGACCTTCTTCAGGAGACCAATCCATGTTCCCCCAAATCGTGTCTCCACCTTTCGGCAACAATGATACAATGGAGTCCCAAGTCCGAGACATCCGCAAGACATGTTCAAATGTTTGAAGCCCTAAAATCTCAGAATCAAAAACTCCCGGCGCCATAGCTCTGCAACAAATATAGTGTATGTTTCAAGCTAATCTTTTGCTAATCATGCCAATCTATGTTTCATCTTTAGCATTACTTCTAGGTGTCGCAGTTATTTGGCACCGAATTATGAGGAAGATTTTGAAAAGCTAACCTGAGATAAGAAGCATCTTTTCCTTCGGCAGAGAACAAAATACTAACAGCCTTTGGAACACCGAGAAATGCCGGACCGATGTTCATGATCGCCTTGATGTGCTTGGCACACCAACCTGGACCACCACTGCCCCCGATAGGAGGAGGTGTTTCAACCCATTTAAGGAAGTGAAGAAAATAGATAACCCCCATGGAATGGGGCACCACTACCACTTTCTTATAGCCATTCGTTATATACATTAGCTCAATTTTAGTCTTCAGCCTAGTAAGAGCATGGTCTCGAATCTGCTTTTCGTGGATAGAAAAATATTAGTAAACGCTCTATCTAATACGTTATTTATGGTTTGTGCTTTTATTACAAATATATACTAAAAGCTTGCATCATTTGTCAACTTCTAAGCCTAAAGGAGCAGTGTTTCCTTGAGATGGACATGAACATAAGGCAATGCAAGTGTGCATTTCGCCAATGGATAAGCGAAGGATTAGCCATCCCATTATACCTCTGTATTCTGGAAAGATAGCCTCCAGTCATAAGCAGCCATATGCAAGTTCTTCCCTTCATAGCCAATTTTTGCCAAATTTTCAATGAGAACGGCCCACACGAAGTATCCGGGAGCAAAATAGTCGGCTGCAACCATCCCCGGTACGGCACGAAGCCGGATTCCTGGTGGGTCAAGGCCAGTTTCGTAGTGCAAAGACAAGTGCTCCAACAAACACAGAGGCCTAAACATCAACAATTTCAATCACAATTCAATCTCAAAAAGGAAGTAGCAAATGATAAAAACACTTTTGAGTTTTTTAAAGTACCTTTTGAATATCTCAGTGAAACTACCACCCCAAAGGCGTTTACGAAACAGACCATCAGCACAAGGCTTGCCTTCCCATAGCTCGAGCCCACCTGTGACGATGCCGGGGACTAAAACCACAGGGTGAAGTGCCGTCAAGCCTTCACGTTTAAGCCTTGCTCCTGGACCAGGTAATTCAGGGACCCTAAGCAATGTAACCGGCCAGCAGTGGCACAATAACAGAAGGAGCAACCAAGTGGTGCAAAGGCACCCAATTATCCAACAACAAGAATCTATGCACCTCCATTCCTTTGCCCGCTTTCTCTTGTTGATCCCCAAGGCTAAATTATTAGCAGAAATGACATCTTCTTCCTTCTTGTCAAGCTTTTGATCAATCTTGGGTGACTGATCCAAAGATTCAAACCCCACTGAAGAACACTTAACCGCTTGCTCTACATAGTATAGTTTCCTAAACCGTAGAATGGAGGCCATTTCCGACAATACGAATGTAGAAATCACGGACAAAAAGAAGAACAAAAACGACCCATCAAAGGGAGAAACATGAAAACATCACAACAAACAATGTACGAACAAGAACATCCTCTCACTAATATATAAAGGTGAGAATTGTGATCCAGCTTGGAAAGAGTAACCGTTACGGGAAGAGGACAAGAACACTTGTTGAAAAAGAAGAAGACCTATGTGTCTGAAAATTCGCAAAGAGACAAACACAGAGATAAATCGACTTGTTTCTTTGAGAATATGGCTTGAGATTCTGTGAAAGTGAAGTTGGGTTTTGGAAGTAAACGTGTTGGGGCGGATGAAGGCGGAGGGAGTGGTGGTGTATATAGGTGGAAGGTGGAAAAATATGGAACAAATTGTGGTTATGGACTTTAATGACACTTGGCTTAGTCTTTACATGCATGCCCTCATGGCCGTTCATCACCTGTTACCTTTTCTGTTAATGACTTTCTATATTACTCTTTTCATTTCTAGTGAACTGCATCTTATTCAGACTTATACATTACGGTATTATTATAATAAAATATTTATTTAAAATATTTTAATTATATATATATATATTTATAAATATAATTATTTAAATTCAATCTTAAAATAAAAATTATTTTCCCTTTCACGACGTTGTAATTGCAAATGTTTTCCATTACTTTATGTTTTTTAGATGACTACATATTTAACTATTATTTTAGATGACTACTTGTTTTGGTTATTTAATTATTATTTTTTAAAATTATGATTAACATTATGTTTTGGTTTCGTTTTGATCACCCATCATTAAAAATAAACAATACTACTGATGTGATAATTTTTTTTTATTTTTTGCAATGATAACATAACATTATCTTAGGATGATACGTTAAATTTTTTTAATAAAAGTAATTAAAATGTAACTTTACGTATAATATTAAAAAATAATAATAGGCGACCCTAATGGAACTCAAATAAGCACATCCTCCTTAGGCGTGTGTAATGGAAGCAATGTGTATGGAGAAAAGGATAGGGTGGAGGGAATGGCACAATGTTTAAGAAGATGAATCATCTATTCTTTCTCCATTTGTCTCTCGTCTCTTTCCATGGTTGTATCTGTGGAGTACTTCAAACAAACAGGTCAGGAATTCGGCGACGTTGATGATTCTCGTTAGGGTGATAAATTAATTCGTTACCGTTAATCGTTAATATTGTTATTATATTTTACATGTTAATTAATTTGACTGTTAAGATTTAACGATTTTGATTAATCGAATCGTTAAAAATATCGGTTAACAGTTACAGCTACAATTATGAATTTTGGCAAAATATTAATCATCGGTTAATCATTAATAAATTATAATTAATAAATTATATTTTTAAAAGAATATTATTAGAAATAGAATTAAAATGGTTCCTCGCTATTTTTTAGTTATCATGTTTATCATATATAAGAACACATTATCTTAAACATAGATAAAAAAATACTTGATTTTAATCTGTAAAATATAAATATGCACATAAGATTTTAAACTATAAAAAAACCTGAATATACCTTATAATATATATATATATATATATTTCTATAAAAATAAAGTGCATCTACACATAAATAAGATTTCTAGAAATATATATGTTTATATCATAGTAAATTTCATGAAATTTTGAAACTTTCATATTTTGTTGTGTTTAAAAAAATTATAATAGGTTAACCACATATTAACATGTACTGGATCATTAATAATGGTTAACTGTTAGCGATTAACCGTTTTTAATAGTTAGATTAAGATTAGTAAAATTTAATAACTATTATTTCTTAATAGTTATAACGGTTAACCGACCGTTTAGGCTAATCGATACAATTAACTAACCAATAACACTCTTAATTCTCATCATATGTTCGGTAAGTGACAAACTCAATATTATTTATTGGGGTTGTTCTAAAAAATTATATATATTTTTTTCGTTGCTCTCTCGGTTCCCAAGGATTCGTTTTGATTAATCCAAGCCAACTCGGGTCACACATCTGGATGTGGTTGGTGAGTCTATCGACAAGGATTTTCCTCATAGACAAATATTTGAACTCGAAACATGCTTAAACGATATCAAGTTGCTTACCACTTGAACCAACCTCGTTGGTAATATATATATATATATATTAAAATATTTTAATATTTTTGTAAATATAAATTATATATCAAAGTATCATACTAGAAAAGCAAATTTTATAAATCCCAAAAATTCATTTGTTTATATAAAAATTTAAAGCAACAAAATATATTAATAATAGTGTTGTCTAGAATCATTTCTAAACTTTTATTTTTAGAGATGAAAATTTATGAATTCACGTGATAAATATAGATATCTTAAATAAATTCATAAATATAAATATAATAAAAAATATTTAAAATAAATTGTCTTCAATTGAAATGAAATTAAAAGCTAAATACTTATAATTTGATTAAAATCTTCAACTCAAAAAAGATGAACAACTAAACATTAAAAAACACATCATTTTTTATCTTGAAATAAAAAATGACAAGAAAAAAGATTTTCATTTATTTAAAAAATGGATGTTAACTTCTTTTAATAAAAAATATTCAAGTAGTTTCCAAATTTCAAAGAAGTATATACAATTCTTTTAGATAACAAAAAATAATTAATATATATATATATATATATCTTTTAAAATATTTTTGGGACCAGGTCCTTCACTAGTCTCTTTTTTTGTGTGCCATTGTATTGGTGATAGAGGCACATTTGGTTTAGAGTAGGTATTAAAATCTGAATTTTCTTTTGATTAAATATTTCTTTTATTAATGATGTTTATCTTAGAATTTTATTTATGTTTATTTATTATATATAAATTTTATGTTGGTAATATATGTGTATTCACCTTCAAAAATATTTTTGAATTTACTATTAGACATGTGGTTCGAGCTTTTCGTATTTTCTTCAGGAAAAAATGACAATACTCTCTTTAGATAGCATGGAACAAAATTTGATTTTTATAATGATTTGTTGAGAAATTTAAATTTTATTTGTTATATAAATCATAACAAAAAAAAATTATATCGTAATCACTTAGTTATTAAGAGATTTTAATTTGATTACTGATCTTTTAATTTTATCATTTAAATTATTTAAATGCTGAAATGATATCAATAAATCATTTTTGTCAGCATTTAACGGAGGAATTGATATGACAATCAATAAATTGATATGATTATATATTTGGTCATCATTACTTATACACTTTATCAATTTAATCCTAATTTTAATTTTTGTTTACATGTGTTACTATCTAGTCAGAGAATTAAATTTATTAACTTAAAATCCATATAAGATAATCTTCATCCTCCATAATAATAATAAAAAATCTTTGAAACATAATATTGATCTTCCATTAAAAAAAACACACAGTGACGCTTTCAAACGAGTTGTGACTATCACTTCATCTTATTAAATGCCCTAAAACCATTTAACCTTTTTCTTTCCATTTTCGGTCCGACTATATTGAAGGTGTTACATTTCCCCCCTAAAACCATTCATTTTTAAGATTAACAAGCTCAATTTTTTATTAGATCGGATCGAGGGTTTTATTGTCCCCCAAACCATCCATTTTCAAGATTAATAGGCTCCAAATGATTGTCGGTGGGTGTGTTTTTTAGGTGATGGGAGTAGTGTTGATGGTTTTGGAAATGAGAGACAAGAAAGAGAGACACGGGGAAAGAAAAATTATAAATCTAATCATAATCTTATCTAGACGTGAAAGAAATGAATAGAATGTTTTTAGTGAATCTGGAACCCATGACCTAAGAAAATATGAAGGAACAAAGATGCGAAGCTTGACAACCGGCCAAATATGTTTGCTTCAAAATATCTCATTTTATATCTTCTTTGATTTTCATGTTATCGTCTCTTCATCTATGATTAACGAGACTCTCTAACCATTAATTATATTTAAACTAAATTTCAAAGATCTAATTTAAACTTTTCAATTTAGTATCTGAATTTTTCTATATTTATAATTTGGTTTTTTTTCAATCCAAAACTAATTTAAACTATAATCAATAATCATTCATGGATTAAAATTTCTAAATGGGACATCCATTTTTACATCTCTTTGGCAAATTAATTTTGCTAACTTTTCAATTTAATCCTTAGCTCCGATTTTAATATTTCATTCACTATAGAAATATTTCATACTTCATTTTATCAAGTATAACTAGCATAATCAATAATAGATTCAGTTTCCAATATTAAACTATAATTTTGATAGTGAAAAAATTGGGGGTGTTACAGATATTACATCATTTAATATTTTGAAATTGCACCTTTTGATATCGTGATTGTTGAGGTAATGAGATGGTTGAAATCTGATTCAGTGGAACCGTCTCATCCTTCAGTTACTGGGCAAGTGAGTATGGAAACACATGCATCAGTGTAGGCTGAAGGAGATATTCGACGAAGACAGCGGTAGAAGGAGATACTCGACGAAGACAGTGGTCGAAGGAGATATTAGACTAAGACATCGGTCGAAGGAGCTACGTAATGGAGCCATGCTTTGGGAAGATTAATGGGGAGGGTATTTGTATATTCTCCAACGCTTGAGAAGATTAATGGGGGAGGGTATTTGTATATTCTACAATGCTATGGTTCATTCGTGTAGGAAGATTAAGCATGTGTCGAATAAATTTACTCAATTATTTTGTTTTTCTATTAATTACAAGAAATCGGAACTCCTTTTAATTCTTTCAACAAAACCAGTTCCAAAATGTTAGTTACTTGAATGATACTTGCCTTAGTAGAATCTAATGTTCCCCCACATAATTCCATTATGAAAAATACAAATTTTGATTGAAATTAGATGTTATAAACTGAGAAAATAAAACCTTAATTTTTAGATTATTCTTAGGACATTATGTATATTATAAAAACATGTAAATTGGTCATACGGCAAAATTCTTCAATGATAAATTTATGCTAAATCACACACACAAAAACGCTTGACATAAAACACAGGAATGGCCAGCGAATTCAGAAAGAAAAAATAGAAAGGGCTGACCATGACGATCATATAATTTAAGCCACCGACACTCTCGAAATATTTAAATTCTCATATAATTTACATATTTTTTTTAATTTTTTTAATGATAATCTATTTTTATTCTTAAAATTTTATAAATTCGCCCCTTATAAAATAATTTTATAAGTCTATCCCTAACATGAAATCCTACTAGCCCCGTCATGTCTAGCCCAAAACCCTTTGGAATAATAATAACAAATAAATAAATAACTAAACAATGTAATTCCCAAGTAAAATCTAATGTTCCCCACATAATTCCATTATGAGAAAATAGCTGCCTTAGCTACAGGGAGCTACCAACACATAAAAAAGACCAGAAAAAAAATATACTTGGCATATAACGAAATTAGACAATTAAGATATATTTAAAGACTTCCTAAAAGAAAAAGGAACTGAAACATTAACAAACAAATGCACATTTTACTTGAGTCTTTGCTTTGGCATGGTCTTTGTTTCCTTAGGATGTAGTAGGTTTTACCATGGATTTCTTAATAGCCTCAGCATAAGTCCTGTGTTGGTAGGTCAATGTAGATTCAAGCAAGTCCCAAAGTGATGTCTTGGGGTTCCAACCTAATGCAACGTCGAAACGATAAATTAGATTTAGATGCTCAGAATTCTAGTCTGGAGAAACTAAAGATCACGAGAATAAACTAGCAAGCAAGAAAAATACCAAGTTGTTTGTTTATTATGGTCATGTCTGGAATTCTCTTGTCGCTATCATCATACCCCTCCCCGTAAAATTCCTTGGAGCTGACATCAATTGTCGGAGATTCCAGAGCAGGTTCTCCACTAACCTTGGTATAGACCTGAAGAACCCGATGGCATATACAGTTGTAAATTATATACAATCAATACATGACCATAAACATAAATGATGATATGAATAACAGATATTATATATCATCAATTATGCGCTTCACCTTAGTCATCATTTCAGCAAGTTGCCTAACTGTAACTTCATTGTTTGGGTTGCCAACATTGAAAATGTGACCATTGGCCCTGTCTGGATTTTCCTGTACAGAGGACACCACTTAGTTTAGCTACTTTCTGCATTAGAGCAGATGTGGGAATGAAGAAAAGGGTGAGAAGATTTAATACAGACAATCATCAACAGAACAGCCTCGATAGCATCTTTTATGTAAACAAAAGTTCTCTGAGACTGGCCACCATCAACGAGCTTAAGTGGCTCACGTCGAAGGAGATTCTGACAAAAGAAAGGAAAATCGTCATTAGAATGAAGACTGGCAATACCGAAAACAGAAATTCTAGATGCCTTCTAGGATATTTTCTACTACTGTGAAATAAGTTCAACATACATTACTGAAGCATGCTAAAACTCTTGGAACTCCTTCATTTGGACCATCAATGCCGGGAATGAAGTCCATCCTAGGTCCAATCCAGTTAAAAGGCCTCACAATTGTAAACTCAAGGCCATTCTCCGCCCCCTCAGCTGGAATAGATAGAAAAGAAGTCAGTAAATCATGTTTAAAGCATCCCAACATGAGCAAATCATTACAAATGATGCTAACCATAAATGAGCCTCTCAATCAATTGCTTAGCGCATGCATATGACCACCTCTGCTTCTCAATAGAACCAAAAATGCAGGGTGAGGTATCTTCCTTAAGAACATAGTAGGCAGGATCCTGCAACACGAATCACACACTGTGTCAGATTCTAAACATCCTAATCAACAAACATATTAGTCTCAACTCAACAAAAAAAGGGAAAAGGAACAGTAACACAGGAGTCTTAAAAAGCTTAAAGGAGAAAAACAAATGAATATACTATTAAACTAATTTCAGCATCTCTGAATTTAGAGATTCAATACATCTATGCACAAAGAAAAACAGCTCACTTAAGAACAAAATTCAATAAAAAAAAGGACTAGTTTTTAACCTTTCCGTCATGAAGTAAATGGATAAAGAATAAAGCTCATACACAGGCCTGTAAATTTATTACACCTACAATTAAAATCCACACGAGACAGCTTCCTAGAGCTGAAGTTGTATGGTAAAGACCACTAAAAAGACAATTAGTACAGCAATATATAATTTGCAAGGCTAGAGTAGAGGTTCACAAGCAGGGAATTCTAGGAAAAACGAAACATCCAAACATTTTCAACAAGTGGAATCTAAGTTATAAAATGGCATAACTTGATATGAACCACTCACTTTAATACTATACAATAAATTGTTATTACATTGAACAAAAACCACATAATCTCCCTCTTCCAACACCGAGCCTTTCAATGTTTGGTGACCAAGAAAATTGTAAAAGTTCAAAGAAAACCATACCACCAACAGATCCTTAATACACCATACATGTTACGCACTTTATAATAAAGTATAGATAGAGCATCTTTCTATTAAAGGATACAAGTGATGAAGAGACAGCGAAAGGTTACCTGACGGAGAGGAGAATCTTTGGGAAGAAAGCTTTGAATAGTTTTACCATACACTTCACAAGTGGAGAAATGAATAAGACGCTTGCTGTTCTCTGAGCAGTATTTCACCTACCAATAAATCCACATAAAAAGACCACGACATTAGTTTTAACTTCGATCATTAAACATCAGTAACAATCAAATCCCTCGTCACTCACATCAATATCAATCAACTCTAATATGAAGAGAAAAAAAAACTGATACCGCTATAAAAGAAATGCTTATCAATATATTCTCTCAATCAACAATATCAGTAAAGTAAAATAAAAAGAAAAAATTAAACCGTTATAAAAAGAAATGCTTACCACAGGAAGCGCATCAATAAAATTGCTGTAGATCGTGTCAAGCGGGCGTGTATTATAGTCTGCCGGAGTACAGATCGCTGCAAGATTTATCGTCTATATTGTCGCAAAAAAATAACTAGATTAATCAATATAAATCAAGCAAAATCTTTTCTGAAATAAAAAAAAACTTCTAAACAACAATGAGATAAATTAGCTCGAGAAAGAAATTCAAAAATAACACAGAATTGAACCAGATCTAAGAAATTAAATCCAAAGAAAATACTAAGAAACAAAAGACGAAATCAATATATAGAGAAATAAACAAATAATTCAAAAGATCCTTGATCGCAAGCATTTTTTATCAGAAAAAAAAAAAAGAAACCGCAAGACAGGCAAGAAATTACGAGATCTGCCATCTTGATGAGGCCTTCGAGCCTAGAGTCGTGCTTGATGTTAAGTCGGTGGAACTGGATACGGCCAGCCCAAGGGAGAGAGTCAGGCTCGAGGAGGTGCTTAATCTTGTCATTGTAAACGTCTAAGGCGAGCACCTTGTGCGGCGTTTCCGACATCAATTTCTCGCAGAGATGAGAGCCAATGAAGCCTCCAGCTCCAATCATGCATATAGTAATTGGCTTTATCGGCCTCCCGTCCAGATCCATTCTCGTCGTCGCCATTTCAAAAGACACCGGTGTTTTCCGATCTTCTAACGCCGGCGGTGACAAAAGGAAATTATTAGCGGCGAGAGGGGAAATAGAGATCGAGAGATTTGAGGATGGAGAGAAATGAAAGAGGGATATGGCCTTGTGTAAATATATGTGGCAACGAGAGAACAGAGAAGCTGAGGGAGACCCTTTTACAGTGCTACACTAAATGATGGGTCGGGATTAAAAGCATACTCTCGCGAGTGTAGCTACTGGTTGTACTCGACTTAGGAGGAACATGTGGAAATTTTAAATTATGGGTAAACTATACATATAGTATCTTATGTTTTTGGTCTTTATCGATTTTGATCATCGAAAAAATGATTTTAATCCTTACATTGTCAATAAGTTCGATTTTGACCTTTCTACCCTTAATTCCCGTTAATCCCTAATAAAAATCTAAGTTGATAATTAAAAAATAAAAAATAATTCACGTATTTTTCTTCCTCTATTTATCAATCAAAACAGCTCTCGATGATATTCCATATATTCATTAATAAAATACACAACTGCATAACGGGAATTATTTAGGTTATTATTAATGTTAAGTGGGGTTACTCTCCCTAGTCATTATTTAGGTTATTACCCATAACCATACACATACTTCGTTGCCTCTCAATGGATCTTAGACAATATATTATCAATTAAAGGGCATCGTGTATAGAGAACATCAAAGGTTTTCTTGAAGCATTAATGGCTCTGTTCTTCACCTATAAAAGACTGGTTTTAGATTCATTTCTCCCATGCTCAAAAGCCTCTCTGCAACATGAAGAAGCTAGCCAAAACTGGTTTGGGATTGGGATTAATGATTTTATTTTAAAACATATTTGACATTAAATATTAATAAAAATATGTTAAATCATATTAAAAAAATAATGCTAAAATAATTCATATCATCAGTGATCAAAATAAAAACAATTCAAAAATTAAATGATTAAATTAAAAAAAATTAAAGGATAAAAAAATGAAAAAAATAATTAAGCGACGAAAAATGTGATTTATCCTTAAAGAAGTTAGTTAATTATTATTATAAAATTACCTAATATATATATATATATATCGGTAAATAATACATTATTATATTAAAAAAGTGGTGGTTTTATAGCTATGCGTGACGCCGACAATGAGCTGTCTTTCCCAAATACTCACGTGTCACGTGGGTTAATAATATAAAAGGAAAATCAAATTGTGGTTATTTCCACGCGCCTCTTATTTAACTGTTAAAAGTAAAAATTAATAAATTTAATTTTAAATAATTTAATTCAATTATTGAGTATGAGAAACACATGCAGATAAATTATCCTGTTGACAATTAAAAATATTAAAAAAATAAAATAATAGTGAGAAAATATCAGAAGAAATAGACAAGGTGAGCCTTCCTGACTGACACGTGACGAGGGAGGATTCTATTTCTTCTGATATTTTCTTACTATTATTTTTTTAACATTTTTAATTGTTAACAGAATAATTTATCCGCATGTGTTTCTCATATTCAATAATTGAATTAAATTATTTAAAATTATTTTTTATCTTTTATTTTAAATCGTTCTATAAATAAATTAATTTTTTAATAATTTCAGTTTCATTGAATAAATTCTAATTATTTCGGTCATCAAATTAATCAAAATTTGTTATAAGTTATGATCTATAAATATATATTTTTCTACTTGTATTTGTATTTTTATTCTTATTGGAAAAACGAAACGATGCAATTTATTTAAGCAATCAATTTGACGATATATGATATAGTTCTAGTTGGCTCATCTATCTCTCCAAAGAAATAAATAGAGCTACTTGTGTCAAAGAGAAAACCATAATGAAATGATGAAAATAGGAAGTAAATCCAACTCAATGCTAAAGTCATGCATATTATCTTTTGTGCACTTTTATCAGATTAATATGGTAGAGTTTTATCACGTTCAAATGTCGAAGAAATTTGTGATAAGTTGAAAGTAACTCATAAAAAATAAATTAAGAAGTCTAAAGTTAACATTTCCACTATCAACTATGAAAACTTCAAGAAGAAGTACGATGAAACATAATGATGATGTTTGATCGGTTGACTGTCATCATCAATAGACTCAAGTCTTTTAGGAAGACATATCTTAATGAAGAGATAGTAAGAAAAATACTTTATTGTTTGTCAAAGTCTTGGAAAGTAAAGATGGTTGTCATTGAAAAAATTAAGAATTTGGTAAATTCTATATTGAAGATGAATTTGGGAGAGAATTGGAGATGTAAGTAGTGAAAAAATAGAAAATAATTAAGTGAGAAAAAAATAAAAATAAAATTATTTTAATATATTTATTATATAATATACTGATCCTAAATTTTTAAAAGAAAGTATAAAAATTATAATATAATAAATATCTTATATTTAATTATTATATTTTAATATTAAATTTAGTTATAGATATCATTTTTAATTTTATTATAATGAAAATAAAACATATAAAATATCAATAGATATTAAATAATTTATTATTTTGAATTTTAGCTTTTAAAATATATACACACATATATATTAAATAAAATAATTGGAGGAGAGGTAGAGTTTGAACCTGGGATATTTTTTATAAAGGAAGGGGATGGATTAGCCGAGATCAAATCCGAAACTTAACGTTAACTAAGATTAAAACATCGTCTATTACCAATACACCACAAACTTAATAAACAAAAGATAAAAACTTACTAAAATAAAATATTATTAATTTCACATAAATATATCATTTTAATATATTCCTTACCATTACTAAGCAATATTGTAATATCATTCTCAATGTATTCTATCATATTAATGAAATAATGTAATTTCTAGTAGATCTATATGTTATACTTATCGAATAATTGTAATATTATTACTTTTTTTAATAGTTTGAGATGATTTTAGGATAATATATGTTCATAATTTTATTAATTAATTGATAATGCATACACACTCTGCATACAACAGCTGCTCAGACTCAAAATTTTCAATGATAACAATATTATCTTTAATCACTTAAACTATGTATGAGTTAATATATATTTTTTGAATAAAAAATAAACAAAACTCTAGTCTAATCTACGTAATATGCATCCTTCCTGGTTCAGGATTTCATGTAAGCCTGCTGGAGGCGTTGAAAATCTGTGGCATTGTCCATCGTCTGCTCGACTCAACTATTATATGAAGTCTACCCTTGAATTGGTTTTGGGACCATCTGACCTTGAATGGAGTGCCTCATGGGCTTCGGGTATGTAGCCCATATTAACTCCCAAAGAGCCTTTTGTTTCACTTAAACCTATTAACTTCCCCTAAGACACTTTTTATCTTTATAATAGTGGTTTTTAATTGTTCTGATTCTATAAAATTCTCAAATTTTCATCTCATTCTTTTATTTTTCTTATTAATTTATTCATTTTCTAATTAAACTTAACCATATTTTTTTGTTTCAAATCACATTTTCTTTGAATAGTATGTGGTGATAACAATATAGTATATTTAATTTTTTCTTAACAAATTGACCACACATACAATAGACGCAGCTGTTCAAACTCATGACCTCTAGGGAAGACGACACTCTCTTTTACTACTAAGACCACTTGATGGGATTTCAAATCACAATTTTCAATTAATCAAATATTCTTTAACTTTTAGTCTTCTCAAATCTCAATCTAACAATAAAATAATACATCATTCTTCATTTTTTCTTTATTGTTCAAAATCAGGCTTCGTATCGTACTTACATTCAATTTTTTATTTATTATCTTTTAAGTTATATTTAAGGTGTTTTTTAGCAAAACAATGAAAAAAACGTGGTGACAAAAATCAATCATTTTTCTATAGTATATCAATGTAATAGTAAATTTATTGTTCATCGTAATGAAATATATTTTTATTCTATTTTTGAATATTTGTTTAGGATCATGAAAATGTCGGAAATAATTAAGTTTTAAACTAAAAGTGTGACTTATGAATTACGTTTAAGGAAAGAAATGGGTTTAAAGTTGAAATTGAGTGACAACAACAACAGTGTCTGTTGTTCTACTTTTATTACTACATCTTCACGTTTCCTGCTGGGACCTTGCCCTACCCCTTAATCATCAAAAACCTCCTTTTCATGTTGTCTTCGACAATTCACCTTTTCTTTTGGGTCCAATCCCTCTTACAATCAAGCCAACAGTTTCGTGTCGTTATCCAGAGCAACATATTTATCGACAACGTATAACTTTTGTTGTCGTTTGAATCGATATAATATTTCATTTAAATTAATCGAATAATTGAGAGGACACCTATGATTATAAAAATTTAAAATAGATCATTATTCGCCTGAATGCACAGTGGGGGAGAAGGGTTAGGCGCCTTACCGCATGGGTTAACTGAATTTTTTTTCATTTCAGCTTCTCTAAAAAATTAGTATTCGATTCAAATCTTTTTATTCTTTGATTAGAGGGAGAATTTGCACTTTTGATTCCTCTCAAAATTAATAATTTAATTTAAGTATATACATTTTTTTTAATTTCAACCCTTCAAAATTTTACGATTTTATCTACAAAATTCTTAAGCTGGTTGTTCATGACTGTCTGCTAAAGAAGCACGTCATATTGAGATAATTTTTATTAAAATATTAGGGATTGGTGGATTAGTGGGATTTGGTTAAAGTTTCATTGTCACTACTCCGAAAAGGACGAATAAAAAAACACTTCTTTTTCCTGGGTTGACACTTCTCAAAGATTCTTCTTCTATGCTTCTTCTTCGTCTTTTCTATGAGCTGCTCACCTCACAAAACAGTATTAAATTATAATAGTTGTAAATAGTAATTTTGTAGATGTTAAAAGGGAAGATGAACAAGTTGAAGGAGATGGTGAATAATAATCTTAAAATTTGAGAGAAAAAGAGAGTTCATTCTTTAATTTTGTATGACAGTTTATGTATGAGCCTTTATTTTTTGTGTCAGACCTAGAGTGATAATTGTTCTCTTGTTCAATCTTGAAGGACAGTTTATATATGGGTCTTTATTGTTTGTGTCTGACCTAGAGTGATGATTGCTATTTCTAGGTCAACAAACTTTGTTGGTGATGAGATTGTAGCATTCCAGAGGACATGAGCTACAAATGTTCTCTTGTAATTCTG